ATGTTCTTGCTGTGATATTTTTCTGCTGTTTTGCCCGGTTCTCAATAAACATCTAGCAAAGAGAACTTTCCCTGGAAAGCATAACTGGCCAGGTCAGTCTCCCTGACTCTTCCTTGATTTGATTTAGCACTCTCAGTTGCCTTAATGGAAATATCCAGCTTTATACATATTTACTTCACATAAATATGTCATGTTCATAAATCATATGCTGGATCCAAAGTACTATTATTCATTTCAACAATGATTACTTGGAAAAAATCCCCTTCTCCTTGCAGGATCTCAACTCATGAGATTAAAATGTGTGCACTTCACATTTCTACCTCACACCTCTTATTTGCAGAAAATGGGAGAAATAACAGAAGGAATAAAAATAGCCACTTTTATCAGGCATATCTCCAAGATTTTTGAATATCAACTTGTTTTGTTGGCATGGCTGGATTATAGGTCAGCAGAACCATCCCCAAATTCCTAATAAGGAAACACTTTTTTTTTTTTTAATTTGTAGTGTTCTGCCAGAATTAAGTAGGAAAGGAGTAAAAATTTGTGGCTCTTCTCAATTTTGAACCCTGCTTTGACCCAAGGATGCCAGGATTTTGGGCATGCTCATTTTAAGTTAAGCACTAGGCTAAATACCCATGTCTCATGGATTGCCTCCTCAACAACCTGTCAGGTAAGTTGTATTATTATATTTCTGAATGAAGAGATTTAAGCTCAGACAGATGAAGACATTTTCTAAGGCTATAGATCTAGTGCTTAGTTAAGTAGAAATTTCAACTAAGGCCAGGAAATGGTCACCATCATTCCTGAGGTAGGTCGACATCTGAACCTAAACCAAACAGTCCCACAGGCTACGAGTAACACAGAACAAAGTGAACTCAGTAACACTTCACTATCAGAATGTTATCATTGATAAGCAAACTCTAGCCTGTGGGCCATAGAGGAGGCAACGTGTTCACACGCCTGTCTTTGGCCTCTTTCCTGAGGCAATAGGAGAGGTGAGTACAGTAGTTGTAAAGGGGACTCTATGGCCCACAAAGCCTAAAATATATTTACTACCTGGCTCTTAAGAAGAATTTGTCAGTATCTGGTGGTTTTGTTCTTTGCCCTGGGAAAGCTGTGAATTTCTCTGGCACAGTAGTTCAGAAAAGAACTGAGAGAAAAGGTGCTTCCTATGGAGTGGGAGAAAAATGTAGGCTGTAAGTGTTCATCAATGGCCAGTGGGTCACTGAAGCAGTTTGAGAGTGCAATTCAGAAACCCTGAAGCGCTTGCAAAAGAAAATATGCTTGTCTCCATCTTTCCAGGTATTGCGAGGATGGGGCTTAATCTAATCGAGTTATGTTACCATGGTATCATTTAGTCCACACAAATCTAAGGTTCTGGGCTATTACTAGGCCCTATTGGAGGAGGAAAGGACACAGAACAGTTTCTTGTTACAAAACTAAAGAAAAAATACCTTCCAGCTGCGATTATGGGTGTGTTTATACTGGACCTCACTGAGGTTAGAAAACAAGACTTCTAAAAAAAGGTGTGGCAGCTTATGCTCCCTTGGCTTTTAGACCAGATGTGAATTCAAACTCTGGCTCCTCTGAACAGCTACTTCAGCACAGACAACAACTTACCCTCTTCCAAGCCTCTCACGAGCCACAAGTACTCGGTTCTTTCTGTCTTGTGTGTGTAAGATTCTTGCCAACAGGAGAATAAAGCTGTGAGAGGATGCGGCATTTGTATCTCCTAAAAATACATCACACAGTGGGATCGTTTATGTGAGAGGAAGCCTCAGCTGGAAGGCTGGAGCTTGGCCAGCATTTGTGTTTTCTCTAACATAAAGGTCTGGCTTAGGATATTCTGTAAAGACTTTTGAGAATATTGCCAAGCAAAACCATCCCATAATTAGAGGCCTCAGCCAGGCCATATGTCCTAGGAATGCTTGATGGGTTTATCATGTGGAACTGAGGAGGAACAGAAGCAGAACCTCTGCTGAGGACATTGCTGTGTCTGGAACCATTACAACTGTTTCTTAATTCAGCCGGCCCTTGGGTGTGGCCACAGTGGCTACTTTAGTTTTTCTTTATCCTTTAATGCTCAGCTCAGACCTATAGTAGAAAGATCTTTGAAGGCCTAAGTGAGTCTTGGTCACTCCCTGCACTTGCAGAGGGCTCTGTGTCTAACATTACATTAGACTGAAATATGTTCCCATGCCTGACTCCATGTAGACTTCCAGCTCTTCTACGGATAACGCCCCCTCCATATCTTAGAACACAGCACAGAATCTGAAAACCTTACACAGTGCTTACCACATGCTAGACACTGTCTTGTGCATGTTTCGCTGATTATTTCATTCTCATGCCGTATCCTGGAGACAAATACTATTATTCTAGATTTTACAATTAAGAAGCTAAGGCACAGAGTAGTTAAATAACTTGCCTCAACTCATATAGCCATAAAATGGCAAAGCATGGTGCCTAGCCAGAATGTCTAACTCCAGACCCCCCAGTCAACCCCTGACCCTATCCTGATGCACATGTTACCAGCAAATGTTCACTCATCTGGTCTGAATATTATTCTCACAGATGAATCCACATATACATCTGGACTTAAAGGACAGAGAATAATTTTAAAGCCTCAGATTCTTAATAGGCTTCTCAGGACTTACATAAAAGGCAAATCTCTCAAAAAAAAAAAAGAGAGAGAAGAAGAAGAAATCAATAGCTTTAATTTATACATGACACAAAATTCCGTTTGACCATCAAAGCCCCCTGCAACTCAAGTCCCTTTAAGTACAAACATGGAATGGTTGTGTTTTAGTAATCAACTGTTCACTTCCTACGTACTTCCACCTAAAAGAACAGAAGCTTCTGGATGAAAAGTCAATGGACTTTTTGTTTTTCTTTTCTTAAATTGCTGATTGCTGGTGTCAGTCGTACGGGTTCTGAGCGCTAACTTACTGTCCTTAAAATAAACTACTGCCAGTGAAAGCCATCCCCAAAGCTGTTCTGCTTAAGCAATAAACATCACCAGAAGACACAACCACAGTTCATTTCTTTACCCAGGCACAGGCTTAACACAGTGCAGAACCGTTGCAGTTTCTCATGAAAGCACTGACTATTGAAAGTGAAAGAAACAAAACTAAGCAACAGAGACCAGAAGGAAGTTTTATTACTGAGCTTCAATAGCCCTGTGTTTTCAGAATGACCGGGAAGGAATCTACTTTGTTCTGCAAGAACTGGATTGAATGTAGAGGGTTATGACAGAGGTTGAGCAGACTCTGTAGTCATTCTGTCATTCTGCGGCCTTAGCACTCGTGAGGCCCTGGGTTTGATGCCCAGCACAGCAAAAAGCAAAAGAATACAAAAAGAACTTTACATTGCAACAATTCCCTAAAGTGCCCACTGAAATAATGATGATGACAATGAAATAGGAATAATAAAATAATCAGACATGCATTCCAAACTAATTATTTCTATTTTTAAAAAGTTGTCATGTAGTAAAATCAGATGGATTTTTTTAAAAATAGTAGAGGAGTATAGTCAACTTTAGTTTTATTTATTCATTTCTTGTTCCCTTCTCATATCATTTGGACTTCCTGCTGGAAACGTTCCTCTTGCTTGGCTTTGTGAAGTCCTTGTGGAACCCCCAAGGAGCTCTGCTGCCCTAATATCACCATAGAAGTCAAAAGAAGCTTCTTTGGCTAGGTCCGTCATCTTAGCACACTGGCAGGCACTGACGGAGACTAAGGTCAAGCTCAATCAAGAGGACTTTCTTTTCCTAGGATTCTGATATAAAGATAGATGGGTTTACCATTCATTCCCATTACTGAAAGGACACAGCAAGGAGTGTCTGGGTCCCTGTTTCCTGTTTGTGACAGGTCAAGTTTTTGACCTTCCTCTTAATTCTGCATGTTTTCCTATGCTCTTCCAAAAGCTTCTCCTTTTCTTGAGTGGTCCCAACTCTTTTGGTTATTTGTTTTCCACCGGAAAAAGTGTCAGGTACCAGCTGAACAGGGAACTGAGGGAACCATGCTAATTACATTGGCCAACTGGGTTATATAAGTGAGGGCAGAAGGAGAAGAAAACACAGGTTGGAGATCCCTGGGAGACAGGGAAATACTGTGTGACAGTAGCAAGAGTGCCAGATACTGGTCACCAGGGCTATAGCACAGGTGAGACAGACTAGGCCCCAGAGACACAGAATGATGAGTGAGTGACAGTTCCAAAGAATGTTCATATTTCCTGACAGGTTCAGGGCTGTGGATGACATTGGTATATTTTTAAACAGCTTCCATGCCACAGAAAACACTATCTGGAGATGAAAGAGTCTTTCACTTCCTTGTTCAAAATCAATACTCAAAATAAAACAATTAGATTACAGATCACAAGGCATTTAAAACATTCTAAAGGAGTACACATATAGCCATCTCTCTTGCTGCGTGCTCACCTTTTCCAATGACTTGACTGAACGAGAAAACTAGGCTTATCAGTTTCATTTTGTTTACGGTTGATTTTACAGTTCAACTCATCATTAGGACTCTTTCCATTTAAATTCACAGACTCAAAAAACCTTCCATGAGCCTTGCTTTCATAAATTCACCGAGAAGAGCTCATGTTAAATTTTATATAATATCATTTAAAAAAAACCCAAAAGTAAAAATTAAAAAAAAAAAAAACCTCCAATAAAAACTTAACAAAAAGAACAAGGACAAGGGGGCAAGCCTGGAAACAAAACCGCCGGGGAAGCCGAAAAAAACAGGATCCACAAGTTCAAAGCCAGCCGAAGGCACTACGCAACTCAGTGAGGCTCTGTCTCTAAATAAAATACAAAATAGGGCTGGGAATGTGGCTCAGTGGTCGAGTGCCCCAGTACCAAAAAAGAAAAAAATTTTTTTTACTAAATTTTCTAGATTAATCAACACCACCACACCCATGCTATCTCATTTGCCGATGCAAATTTGTAAGTGAACAAATAAATGGGAAAAAGTACACATTTACCTGTCTAATCATACCTGAATAAGGACTCTCTTGACAGCCAAATTTCATTCTGTTTCACAGTTTTCCAAGAGAAAAGCAACAGCAGCAACACCGTGGACACAATCAGGGTGGTGGCCCCACATCGATTTAGCCAAGTGCAGAGCTTGCTCAACCCATGCACAAAAAGGATGCAGTAGCCCATGCTGAAAAACAGGGTGGAAGGAAACAGGGTTACTTTGGGGGATGCAGCAGATTCCCCCTGAGCATTCTATCCCATGTAACTAGCTTTCAACTAAAGCTCATTCTGTGCCAGAGAAAATACAAAGTCCCTTGTCTTGAACAACATTTTCCTGTTAGTTTTCTAAAGCTAGAGCTTTGGTATTAGTGTGGTACAAGTTCATGTTGTAGGCTCATGAAGAACAAGTTATATTGATGGGATTTTCTTGCTGACTCTGATCCAGATTTCCCGACAGGCACGAAGAATTCACATGTTATTTGAATGGGACTTTGGCACAATATTGTATCTCCAAAAGTCTTTTGCCTTGTAGAACATGATCTCTCACACTAACAATGTACCCAGGGACTTTTCCAGCCTGCTAGTTAGACTCAGAACATAGACGTAGTTTGTACCCATTATTGCTGTGTGCATTTTAGTTGAAATGGGCTTCTTTTCAAAGATGATAACCAGTGGCTATTACAGAACATCGTAAGTCATAAAGAAGAATAAAACTATGGTATCTTCCAGTAAATGGAATGAACTGGAGACTGTCATGCTAAGTGAAATAAACCAGTCTCCAAAAGTCAAAGGACAAAACTCTTTTCTGATATGAGAAAGCTAATCTCAAATAAGGGGGCGGGGTATTAAAAATAAATAAATAGAGAGAGAGAAAGAAAGGGGAAAAAAACAGGATAGGAAATTTCATTAAAAATAGAGAAAATGCCAGGGCACGGTGGCGCATGCCTGTAATTCCAGTGGCTTCGGAGGCTGAGGCCTTAAGTAGCTCAGCGAGACCTTGTCTCTAAATAAAATATAAAAAAAGGACTGGGGATGCGGCTCAGTGGTTAAATGCTCCTGGGTTCAATCCCCAGGATTGAAACAAAACAACAAAAAATAGTCAGAAATAAATAAACAAAAAAGATCAGCGGAGTAGAAGAAAGGGAGGTGGGAAGAAAGAGGGACAGGAAAGGAGAAGAACAGTGCAATGGATCTGACTGAACTCTGATACATACAAACTTGAATATACCACAGTGAGTCCCAACATCAAGTATAACAACAAAACACTAATTAAAAAAAACAAACAAACTATAATTCAATTGCAGAAAGTTCAGTAGAGTAGCCAGCCAGTGACTCAGAAGGCTAAGGCAGGAGGATCTCAAGTTCAATACTAGCCTCAGCAACTTAGTGAGGTCCTCAGAAACTTAGGAAGACCCTGTCTCAAAATAAAAAAAATAAAAAGAGCTGGGGTGTGGCTCAGGGGTTAAACACCCCTGAGTTCAACCCCCAGTACCAAAAAACAAAAAACAAAAACAAATTGATAGTGCTGAGAAATGAATTAAAGTAAATCACATTCATACTTTTGTGATTATATCAAAATGTATCCTAATGTTACATATAACTAAAAAGAACCAACTTAAAAAGAATAAAACAATTCTTTTTTTTTATTGGCACCGAGAATTGAACTCAGGGGCACTTGGCCACTGAGCACATTCCCATCCCTATTTTGTATCTTTTTTTATTTTATTTTATTTTTTTTAGAGACAGGGTTTCACTGAGTTGCTTAGCACCTTGTTTTTGCTGAGGCTGGCTTTGAACCCATGTTCCTCCTGCCTCAGCCTCCTGAGCCACGGGAATTAAAAGTGTGCATTATGAATGAAGCAATCTTTCATAAAGAAACCCTACATTAGAAACTAATACCACCAGAAGCCCCCCCAAAATATAGTCCATATATTTGTTCAATTATTTTTTCATTTTTTTTCTTTTATGTGACTTCCAATAGGCTAGGCACTAAAAACACAATGAAGAATAAAACATAAATAACTCTAGTCTGTGAATGTGGTTGGTCTTCTAAAGGGAAACAACAAAATAGTCTATTCATAAACACATATTCTTTGAAAACACACCTTTCTACCTTCTCTTCTCCTTTCCAAATACGCTTTGGTATCAAAAGTAGAAAAGTGGAGCAGGCACTGAGGTCTCTCACCTGGAGACCTTGAAGTCAAGTTAGAGCTCCATTTCTCACTTCAAGTCCTGTGAGTCAGTTGATCCAGCTCCCTAAAGTTTAGGGTTCACTGTTTGGCCAACGGGAGTCCCTGCTAACCACTGAGGATGATGACTTGAGCTAAGGAGGCCCATGTCCAACATCTCCACACAAGCCCCAGATTTGATTGCCACAAAATATAAAACAACCCCAAAATACAAATCCCCAAAACTTCTTACTGCTTTCACAACTCCTATGTTTAGCCTTCACAGTGGGAAGCTTTTCTACAAATCTTCTGTTGCTGCACAACTGAGCACACTAGTGTTAACTTGCCTGACCACAATGGTTGCTCAACTTCATAAGGTTGCTGGCCTCCTGTTCCTGCAGCCCTAGTCAGATCCCCCCAAGATAAGCAGGATGCTTCTAGGACCATATGAAGGTCCTCTGGGCTCCATTTGGTCATTTATCAGATAGTTAACACACAGCTACTAAAGGGCAAATAGTATTTCAGACATCAAGGACATATCAGGGAACAAGATTATAATCTTTATCCTTATGGAATGCACATGGGTAGGGAGAAATAGTTCATAAATAGGCAAATAAATATAGGACATGCACATAATCATATGTTACATGGATAAAAAATTAAGCAGGGAAGAGCTTGAGATTTTAATATGGGTAGTCAAAGAAAGTCTCACAGACTTTAGAGCAAAGAACTGCAACTCAAGGAAAGTGTGCCACACCAATACCTGCATCTCCAACATCAGCTCTCTTCCCATTTTTGCTTATGTTAGGCAACATGGCTAAGAGCCAACATTTATGGAATCAATCTTTTTTTTTTTTTTTTTTTTTTGGTACTGGGGACCACTGAGCCACGTCCCCAGCCCTTTTATTTTTTATATTGAGACAGGGTCTTGCTAAGTTTCTGAGGGCCTCGCTAAGTTGCTGAGGCTGGCTTTGAACTTGCCATCCTCCTGTCTCCGCCTCCTGAGTCACTGGGATGAAATCAATCTTTACATGTACCAAATATTCTCTATATTTGATTTCAGTACACCTTCACAACTCTATTGATCACGTTAATGTTTAACCTGAGAACTCTGTGAAGAAGAGAAAGGTTAACTTGCTACATTTGGTCATATATCTAGTAAATGGCAGAGCAAAAATACAAACCCAGATTTCAGATTCCAGGGCCACACACTATCTGCTGTCCTACAGCAGGGATTGTGACTTGACAACTTGATTCCTATATTCCTTACAGCTTATCAGAGACTATTTTCCTCCTACCCGCTCCATTCAGGGCATCTTGATAGTCGTTGACTGCTTTCTTGTGGGAATTGGAGGTGGTTGGAATTCCAGCAATCCACAGTAATGGCCACAAAGTGGCAGAAAACGACAGATATAATTAGGTATTTTATATGTTCACATGTTTACTGAGCACGTTCCACATGCCAAACACCATGCTCAGTACTTTTCTGGGACTTTTTACAAATCTGTAGGGCCTGGGGCAAGACCAGTGCTTTACAGATACTATCTCAATTAAACATTTTATCCCCAGTATCCTCCATTTCATACTAGAGGAGACTAAAGCTTAGAAGAGTTAAAAACTCACCCACAGCTCCAAGTGCTAGGGATGAACCAGACCTGACTACTTAAACACTATGCTGTGATCTAGAGGTTGGTAAACTCATTTTGGAAAGGGCCAGGTTGTAAGTATTTCAGGCTTTTTAGGAGTTGGACCTCACAAAACAATATCCCAGAGTTTGGGGTTCTCACAGGCTGAACTAAAAGAAGCAGTTTCAAGATCTCTCTAATCTTTCTATCTCCCCGTTTCTCAATCCTCTTTCCTGAAACGCAGGAAAGGCCTTTCTCTGAAGTTCCCTTATCTATATAAAGACTGATCCAACAAAGAGGAACATGAGTGCCTTTCATCCTCTTCCAAAAATGTCACTAATGGAGGAAGATGAAACCCACAGCACAGAGGGAGAGACTGAAGATTGAATAGTACATTAGAACCCAGAGAGCTTTGTCACAGGCCACTGCCGGTCCTTAGGCCCACTCAGCTCCCCAAACAATCACTGAATGCCCTCTACAACTGCAACCTACCCCACTTCTCTCTCTCCTATGATGAGAAAATCTAAGCTTCAGCCATCTGTCCTTCTCTGAGCTTCGGACCATATGTGGCTCCTACATACATGTTCACATCAATAAATTCATGTGCCTTTTCTCCTGTTAACCTCTTGTCAGTTTATTTCAGCAGACTTCCATATTCAGACCTGCAGAGGGGAAGCTCCTTTCACCCTCATGCAGGCCGTGAAACTTCTGTCATTTATGATCCACTCTGTAGTGGGAAAGCAGCCATCACACCACAAAAACGAATGAGGTTTCAATAAATCATTTATAGAAACAATTTGACTCATGGGCCTTACAGTTGGTTGATCCTGCTAGACCAAATGAAGGTGAGCCCATTCCTCTCCATTCGGCATGGGCATCTGTATCAAGTAACATGGTCTGTTTTCCCAAAAGTCCTTGCATTGACACATGGTTTAAAGAAATGTTAAACCACAGAAAATAATTTCTATTCAGCTTTGCAAATTTCTTAGAGAGTGTCACGTTCTTAAAAACCTGACACAAATATCACAGAAATCAAGATGCTTCTCTATTATGAGAATCCATCTTTCAACATCTGCTCTAATGCAGTTCTTAGCAGCAGGGGAGAGAAACACTTTCTACATGGCTAGGGGCAGGACAAGGCTTTATATTGAAAGTGGAAAATCAAGCAAAAGAGAAACTGCATGCTTTTATGGCTTCCAGGGAGATAAAACCAGTCTAACTTGCTCTGGTTAGTTGGGTTAAGGAAACTGGGCTAAGGACAGTGCACAGAGTCAGTGCAAACCACTAAGACTGGACAAAATCACAATTGGAAGAACCCAAAGCCAAGGGCTTAGCTCAGTACAAAAATGCATTTTGAGAAGTGCCATGACTCCCCCTGCCTCCACTCTCTTCCA